GCCTATAAACAGGCTCCTTAGTGAGGCAAAGACTGAAAAAGGTGTGAAAGTCTATGTATGTATCCCCGGGAGTAAACCCCTACAAAATGATGGGGTGCCTGTGACACCTTTTGTCAACTGGTACAGTTTAGAGCTAGCTTAGGGGTGCTTAAATCTAAAATGACCTCTTTTAGAGCAGTTTGGCCACCTTTTAAGAGTCTTCAAGAGTGTTGAGTTAAAAAATGATCATGAAAACTATTCTGTTACTCAACTAGTTTTTGGGTACCTATTAAAAGGAACTTGAGCCATGCCCATAAAGCCCTTGAGGGTGTAGGTTGTTGTGATAAGCACCCTGAAGTCATCTTTGAAGGAGGAGAGTACCCCTGGGAAGTACCCCCTAACCACATGGACTTTCAACATAGAAACTACAGAGTTTTTTATCATCCTACAGCAGAATGCCATTATGCAAGTTTCTCAGATGCATATTCACCAAAATTAATTGGTGTCAGAATTTCATTTCGGTTATGTTTCTACTCCCAAAATGTGTAATATGTTAACTGAAACAGATCATTTAAAAGTCTGACGATCAGTCATCTTTTCTATTGTTTTTATTAGCAACGAAGGAGAGTGAAGGTGCATTTGAAACTTTGCAGGACTTCAGAGTAGCTCTCTTCTGCCAACTTTTTGGTGACTTTTTTCAGAGATACCCACAAGACAAGGTTTTAATAACACAAAACAGTCTCAGTAATTTAGTATAGAACAGTAACAAACGTAAGTAATAATTATTACACGGCCTGATAACATCATAGCTCTCTCCTCAACAGTGGCCTCTTTGCACCATCCAAGGGGTGGGGCAAAGGGAACAGAAGGCATGCATGGAACATCTGCATGCTCCCTTTTTTACGATTACTAATAGAAGCCTCTAAGTAGGAGAGCGCCATTGTAGCTTACATCCCTATTTTAGTGATCTTTAGTAAACTTTCCTTTTGGGTAAGAAAATTAAGGCTAGAAACATGCAAACCTCAGAGCAGCCCTAGGTTATTAGTTTCCACTTGTTATCAGTTAGCGTACATTAAGGTATAAGAAGGGTGTTTTAATGAACTGACTACAAAATTTCTAGTTTTAAAACTTATTATCAAATGCAGTGGCAGGTCAAGACCTTTTTCCTCTTAAACAATGGAGAAGGCTGTAAGTATACCTAGCAGCCTGCAAATTCAACTAGTAAAACAGACACAAAATGATTTTTGATTTTCCCTTATAACAGTTTAAAGACCCAGCTGAAGTTGACTGTTTTCAAGTCAAAACCAAATTATCAGTCAACTTCACACGCTAGTGACAAAAAAGAACCTCCACTAGGAAAACTAAATGAAAACCTGGTCTTAAAAGCAGAGTGTGCACAACTCAAGGTGCAGCTCATGACTTAGAAGTAGAAAAATAAACACAAACAATGGAAAAGGAATGATTGACTCCCTGGGGTTGTGTTTATATTCAGGTAATGGTGTGCATATTATGTCAGACCTCTTCACTCCCAGAGTCGATAGAGAGCTTTGGCAATTTGATGATGGTGATGACAATGCTGACAATATTAGAACATCAAGTACAACAATATTGCTCATGTTTTGCCACTTGGATTGTAACCGGTGGCATTTCTGGGAGTGAGGGGGTCAGACATGTCTGCACTTTGAAGTTAACAAAAATTCACAAACTGTTATGCTTGCTGTGATTAAAAGAGTTTTGACAAGTTTACAGTGTATATTTGGTAATTATTGTAAGACAAGCAGTATGAAACTCTTTGCCACTATTGTCCTAAAATGTAAAATACTGTCATTTTCATACTTAAAATAAAATATGGCTCATAAACGTGCATGGTCACCATGCTGCCAACTTTCAAATTTTTCCAAAATATAAAAGCTAGCAACTATAACACAAATCCATATTCCTTAACTTAAGTAGTCTCTCTCTTCACATGCAGTTTATTGTCTCCTGGGACAAAATGGAATGTATCTGATACATTCCATAATAATAATAACTTACTTTTTTATTTCAATTCATAAAAATGCACACTACCACTCTACAAACTAACTAAACCCTTTTAAGTGACACCAGAAAATATACCATATCACAGGGAAAAGTCAAAGGAACTTTTAGGGGGTGGGGTATGAGGAGTCCCAACTAGAATAGTATTAATCAAGAGGGGTAGGACTGGGGAGGGGATGGTCGTACTCATGAGCAGAAATGTATCCTTGGTACATTTCACATTTTTCTCGGTTCATTAAAATGTGTTTTCTGTGATAATCAAAAGATAAAATGGACCATGAATAAACTTGAACAATCGTAGACTATATTAATATTAGTGACACAATCTAAAGAATATTATATCCAGGTGAGAACAGTCATCATTAATTTACGTCTGCTACGAGACTGAAACTCAACAGGACGGTTATGTGGTGTAAGACCCCGAGTGACTACTGATCTAATTCCAAATCTCCCTTTGACATACAAGCATGAACAAGGGTTCTTTGGGGGAGAAGACTTCTAACAGTTGATCAGAAAACACTTAGCGGTTCAATGCTATGTTATAGACATGCATTTCTCAGTGGTGGATCCACGAGAAGGGTCAGAGGCCGGGTCCACCATGCCCAAATGTATCTGTCAGACCCCTAGGATTTTTAAAGTACTAAATGAGACCATGTCAAGCTATTTGCTATTTTCTTAAAAAGCCAAAACAATTTTTTAACAATTGAATTCCAAAAAAACAATAATGGTCCAACTTTGTTATTTAATGATTAGGCACTGAAACTGTTTCCAGTTGTCTGCTGCAACAGATGGCAAGGATGGACATGGATTGAGATGTGAAAACGTTGGGCCAATTTTTAATGCAACTTTTTTAATGTCATCTGCAAAATCACCAAAATATCATAACAGTTAGAGATCCCTGATGAAATTGGTTTGATACTTTCTTCTTTACTCTACAGGAACATTGTGTGACAGTGTATGGGTAAAGGCACTAAAACAGATTGACCTAAAACAGAAATCTCCTCGTGACACATGCAGTCCCTTTGACTGACTGCTTGGAATCGAATATGAAAAAATTACCTCGGAAAAATCCCATGCAACTTTCACCACACAGCTTGAAACAAACCTTGTGATGTACATTGGCTTGAGGTCAAAATATTATTATCTTAACAGCTATCACAAGAGACAAATGTTTTGATGGTGTGCCCTTTATCAATGAAATGTCATTTAAGCTGTGCATGGTGTTACAGCAAGGGTTTATGTACTATCGTGCAACAAAACAGACACATGGAAAGTATCAGCTTCCAAAGAGTGAACAAATTAGACCTCCCTCTTCAAACAAAATTCCTGGTACACCCCTGTTCATGCTCATATACCATATACTGTTGATTACAAATGAAGCCACTTTCATGCCTAAATGTATTGCACATACAAAATTAAGATCACACCAGTAGTATGTCAAAAAGAATGTAATCCCAACAACATTCAAAGTCTGGTGCAATAGGTATGAACGTAAGTTTGTACAAGCAATGCATAATTTGTTGTGGTTGTAGGTGCTTGGAAGTAGCTCCAAGAGTAATTAAAACACAGGGGCAAACTAACAATTAAAAAACAGGAACTTACTCGTAAACTGTAACTTCTGACATTAAAGCAAACAAACATATGGTCAATCTGGTGCTGTACACTGTATTAATCTTTCTTTAAAAAATTAATTCATTCCACAACATAATAATGTGTATAAAACATTTTCGTCACTAAAAAATTCCCAACATTTCAGTGATGAGTTTAAGCTGTTAAGCACCTTAGTGCTGAGCTGGGATGCAACTTTTGTTGTGTAAGGTTGGTTACTGCTGGCATGGAAGAATTGTTTAGATTTTGTTCAATAACAGTGTACTGGTTTCTTTACAGTACAGACACTCAAACTGGGACACTTGGAAGAACATCGTCCAATCACAACATTTTCTGAAAACAAAAGATTCTCAAGTTTTTTGCAAAGGCACCCATAAAATTCATAAATTTGAAGGCTGTTCCCTGAGAGGTCAAGTAAGTTCAAATGCTTTTAAAGTTTTCAATGGACACATAGTTGAACTGTGAATTTTAGCGCTCTGTTTGCAAAAAACCTTGAAAATCTTTGGTTTCAGAAAAGGTTGTGATTCGACAATCTCCTTCCAAGTGTCCCATTTGAGTGTCTGCACTGTAATAATCAGGCATAATTTTGTACCAGAAATCAATAGACCAGTAGACCTTCAGTAATTGCTTTTATGTTTTGTGCTGGTGAAAACCATGACAATACTCAGGAGATTTGCTCTCTTTTCTTGTTGGAAATAAAGAGCATATGAAAGCAGGAATGTATGTAATTTTATTAGAGAATGCGCCCTTGAATGTTGTCACATGATCTGCATTAAGTCAGCAAAACATAAGTGAATAAATTAATATTTCTAACACTCGATTTATTAACAGGAGTGCCTGTTTACGAGGAACATTGGTAACCCAAGCATCAAATTCTCAGATAAAAATGCCCTGGTTATAAACTAAGCAATAATTTACACCATGGCCTGCCAGATTATGTAAAAGTTGTTGTAAGTGTTTTGTCTCAGTTAACTAGGTGGATCAACTGTCAAATCTATGGCAAATTGTTTTGGATTGATCCTTTAAACCCCAAAAAACAAAAATGTGCAGTGTATGTTAATTACCATGCACTTTCTTCAGTAACCAGAAATAGGGTAACCTATCCTTGGAAACAGGCAGATGACAAGGCTAGTTTCTTACAAGAATTCTCTCCACTAAAATCGCTTTATTTGTGTGCAAGGCACTACACTATAAAAACTTGGGTTAATTTTGCTAATTAAAATTATTTGTTTAGAGTCAACTAGGACATTTGCTGTTACACTGTACCTTGTCACTTCAACTGGACATGTAACTTTTAAAAAGCACAGAAGGGTTTGTAACAGCTATTTTACTAAGAATCAATACAATTTGATTTTGTTGAGAGTATGTCTAATAAACTAATCAACTGAGTAGTTAGGTGGCAAAGGAGTTACAGGGAGCTCTCGCAGGTGACATACCTGTATACTGCTGTTAGCGCCAAAGGGAGATGTGCTTTTGAAACCAAAACTTGGCTCCATTTTCAAGCCAGGATTAAAGCTTGGCTGACTTGGTTGATATGGCATTGAGTGAGCAGCTGGCTTGGCTGTGAAAGGGGGCATAACTACAGCTTCTCGGGGTGTGGACCTTGGTTTTCTTGAAATGCTTGCTTTCCTGTCTGGCTTTGGATCATGTGTTTTCTTATGCGACCGAAGCTGGCTGGCCTGAGTGAAGGTTTTGTCACAGTGGCTACACTTGTACGGCTTCTCACCTGTATGGAGACGTACATGTTGGTTTAATTGGCTGGCCTGTTTGAAGGAGCGGCTGCATTGAGAACAGTGATAGGGTTTCTCTCCTGTGTGAAGTCTCATGTGTTGCTTCAGCTGGCATGCTTGCTTGAAGCATTTGCGACAGACTTCGCAAGGGAATGGCCGTTCATCAGTATGGGTGCGCAGATGCTGGTTTAAATGGCAAGGTTGTTTAAAGCCTTTGTTGCACTGTGGGCATTTGTATGGCCGATGCTCAGCATGATTAAGGAGATGTTTTTCCAGGTCTTCTTCTGTTTTGAACACCCTTTCGCACATTCTGCAGTCAAAGGTACCACCTCTTGTGCCTGCAGCCACTGGAAATAACAAGCAGTTGTCAGAAATAAAGTGATACCAAAGTAAAAAACTCCAATGAGGCTGCTAAAAATGAAACATCACAACAGCATGCCTTGCTCACAGAGTAAACTTGTATAGTCATCATCATCATACATTTTGGTAAAGCTGGTAGCAAGGCACTTCTTCTTTTGATAGTAGGTTCTTAAAGATCCAACGAAGCGACAGCAACGAGAACGTCACTTAAAAAGTGAATTTGCATTCTTTCAGTGTTTATCATGATTATTCCTACTTACTTACTTTGTCAAATGTACGCAAATAACCTGAATTTGAATTCCAAGAGCAAATATTCAAGTTCAGAAAGAGAAACAAAATTTCATTGTTGTTTGTGTACATTCTCTATAAAACACAAAATAACTCATTTTCATGTCATAGTCGGGTAAAAATGGTAAAGAAATGTACAAAAAAGCATGATGCACACGCAAAGTTGTTATTTTGCTTATTAAACCTATTGTTCTTTTAGATATTGTTGTTGCCATTGCGTCATTGAATCTTAAAGTCCCTACCGTTGTCAGCAGCTCCTGGTATCCTTATTCAATGAAATTCCGTTTTCCTCCTTTTTTTGTAATACAAAAAATGGCATCCAGCGACAAAATGTTGAAAATCTAAACAATTAGTTCAAATGCTTACCAACATTTTGCTTAGCCAATGAAAGCTTTTGTCAAACTGTTGCAACACTTTGAAAAGCCATTAACAATCCGTTAATCAGCTGTTAGGTTTTGCCCATTTAATGGAAATGTTTCCCTCAAGAAGGTTATCTACATCTATTAGGTCATGCTCAATCACTTCGAAGCTTTGTTAAAGCCACATTTTAATTTTTATCTTGAGTTTAGTTGTTAATGTGAGACCTTGATAAGTGATGTCATTTTCATGAAACAAAATGTCTTTGACTTAACTAGTTACCGTAAAATTCCGAAAATAAGCCCCGGGGCTTATATTTTTGAAAGGCCCTTTTCGATTGGGCTAGCCTTATAGTTGGAAGTAATTTATCGTTTTTGCTTTGTTTTACTTTGTATCTGAGGGCAATTTTCCAAGGACAAGCCCTAGCGGGGCTTGTATTTGGAAGGGTGATTTAACAGAGGGTTTTTTGCATTACCGGTTTGGGGGGCTTATATTTGGAGGGGCTTATACATAAAGGGGCTTATTAGCCTGCTTAAGATCCGACGACGGCAGACGTCTGTGACGGCGAGGGGAAGTGAAATTACTGCTAGAAAGACTTCCGGCTGCCGTCGTTGCGAAGTTTCCCGGCGTAGCGGCCTTGTCTGTGACGTGAAGAAGGCCATTTTGCCGTCGCGTGTAAAACGTGAGTAAACTTGATCAAAATAATGCCATTTAAGCACATTTTGAGCGAAATTCTTTAGCACTGTTAGCAGTTTATTCTCAGTAGACCATTTTTGTCGAATTTCTAAGCAACTTAAACGAGTTGAACACGGTATTTAAATTAAATTTGTTTACCTTCTCTAAACAGTTTGACTCGTTAATCGCCATGGACTCGGTCAAATTTAAAAATTAATGCCACATGCCAAATATCAGTAATTGTTCAAACCCTCATAAAAATGACCAAACAATGGTGAAACTTATACTTGCATTTAATAAAATTGCAGTTATATAAAGCCTAGGGGAGCAAGGGTGGAGCAGTGGTGAGAGTACTCGCCTCGCACCATTGTGGTCTGGCTTCAAATTCTGGTGTCAACCATATGTGGGTTGAGTTTGATGTTGATTCTTTCCTTTGCTCCAAGAGGTTTTTCACCAGGTACTCTGGTTCCCTCCTCCTCCCTTATAAACCAACATTTCCAAATTCCAATTTGACCAGGAATCAGATTGTGAAAGAACCAGTAAGTGGATGTGCTACCTTTAAATCATCATTTATTTATTCCTTATTTACAGCTGTACCTTCAATTCTTGTTCTCTTTGGTACAGGGCCATGATGGTGTTCCTTCTTATTATAAGAAGCTGGAGAATTCTGCATAAATTCACGGCTTTTATTAGCAGCTGATGGAAAATTATGTGAGATACTGTGAAGATTGACTGGCCGATGTTCACAAGTGCAAGTTCCCAAGCTACATTCCATAAAATCCATCCTGTAAGGAAATATTAAAAAGTATCTTATTAAGAACACTTCTTCAGTAGGAAGTTGTGGTAAACATTTCCTTTTGGGAATTTGGATTTTTTCGAAAGAGTTTCAGCCAGAAGGTTATTTTGCATCTGATTTGGTTAAAACATTTGTATCGTAAGCAACTATAGCTACAATTTATAAGCCACTGTACACCAACCAACCAGAAATTAAAACACTGCATGTTTCTTTTACAATTTAATTGGTATATTGCATTTTTGCATACATGTATCTGAGACAACTGATAAAATGCACCTCCTCACTTGTTTCATGTTTTTATCCCTCAAGACGAAAACTGTTGTTGCTTTGGCTCCCAAAAATCAGATTTACCTTGCAAAAATTGTCTGTGATAACTACAAAACATAGCTTTTTCGTAGTCCTTGCTTGGAAGTATTATGCAAAAAGAACGGAGACTCCCTCATGCACCCCATTCTTTCTTGTGCCTATTACTACTTGGTGCAGAAAAATCGCCTCACTAGCCATCAGAGTGGAAATCGGAAGCTGTACTCAACTGAAACTCTAAGCCTGCTTGTATATGTAACCGACCATATTTTCAGGGCCAAATCACAGCTATGGTACTGATTGACTTAAGGAAGGCCTTCGATAGTCTATGTAATTTGACCCTACTTAGCAAACTATACCAGCTTGGCACCTCGAACAAAGCTTTACAGTGGTTCCATAGTTATCTCACGAATAGAGAACAATGCACCCAAGTGGGAACTTCTTTGTCGGAGCTCCTTATGGTAACTCATGGGGTACCTCAAAGCTCGATCCTGAGCCCCAAGCCTTTTAGCTTAAATATGAACGATCTTCCTGCAGGAACTAAATTTAGTATAAGAATTGTACGTGGATGACACAAAAATATATCTCTTAAGTTCTGCACAGGATATCCACTCATGTTTGGAACAGATTTCCTAGGATCTCTAACTTGCTGTGCAAATCATTTTCACCTTAGCGTCCTCTTAACTTTCTAGTTTGTGTCAAATAAGTAGGGTTAGACACTTGTTCTAAACATAATGCTAAATTCTCCTACATTTAGTACATTATTTTACTGTTCCCCCGTATGGTTTGATACATTCAAACAAAATATTAAGAAGGGACAACTGATGCAAAATTTTGCTGCGCGCATATTGACTGGCACCAGGAAGTACAATCATATTTCCCCAATACTGTAGGAACTGGGCTGGCTTACTATAAAAGAACTGTTGCGCTTGCCGGACACTACCATGATTTATAAATGTCTGAATAGTCTGACACCTAACTATTGATGTTCAAAGCTCACACAGTGCTAAAAAATGTACGAGTACAACACTAGAAATAGAGATCAACTTAGCCTTCCGAAATGTCGCAAAGTGATTGCTCAGTGCTATAGATTCCAAATTGAAGGAGTAAAGGAGGCTCAAACAGACTGTGCGGTCGTCCGATTTTGTTTATCACTTGTACGATTACAGGGGAATTGGACTCCAATCAGTCCTATTACCATTATTTATTATTATTTAGAGAGCAGAAAAATTCATCATACAAAGTTATTAACTGTCTGTGAAATGGTGTGAGGTAGAGAGAGAGTAAGCAGTCTTTTATCCATCAGGGGCCATGCGCATAAAATTCCTTTATAAATGAATAACTTCTGATTCCTCTTACTTCCCCATTGAAGAAACCATTGGGCTTTTTTCATCAGCATTGTGAGGGTTAAGAAGTTTTTGTGCACGATGATGTAAGAGTTTAGGAGCGCTAGGCCTCCTTAGAGATCCGTAAAAACGTGTTGTGTTCTTGTAGCCATCTTGATGATCTGTGAACCTTAAGTGAATTGAATCTATGGAATCCTGTGTAATCCTTGAGAAGTTGGACCCTTCGGAGTGTTGTAACCTTTAGGAATTGAGCCTGACAATCCTTGGAGTAAAATACAGTTCAAATTCGTCTTCATGGTCCATCGTTAGCCGGATAAAAGCGGATTCTACGTACCTGATGTGAGTGAAGTTGTGTTGTGTTATGGCCGAAGAACTCGCTGCAAAGTGACGACAGCATGCAGGACGCAGGTCAAGTGCGAAATGTATTATTTTATCTGTTATTGATGTCCTTGGAGTAGGAGACATTTCTCAAGTGTGGGAACACAAAATCAAGCTGAAACAACAAAGAGACAGCCTACAGCAGAAACTCAATACTCTTTGACAACTTGATGCAGAAATTCTTGACCTTGTGGCCGAGGAAGAAATCAAAGGTGAAATTGAACGAGCAGATTTGCTGAAGTAAAATGTTCAGTTGGCTATTGCTAGCATAGAAAATGCCCTGTCATTAAAGGTCGTGTGTTCAGATGTAAATACCGAAGCGAACGTGTCGGAAAGCACATCAGCAAGTGGCGTTCACATCAGGAGAAATTCTTCGCCACCTTCAGCTTCAACATCGAATTTCTCTTCATCTGTGCGGAGAAATATTCAAGTTCAGTTGCCAAAGCTGGAGTAAAAGAAGTGCGATGGAGATCACAGTAAGTGGATTTCTTTCTGGGATAGTTTTGAAGCCTCAGTTCATAGCCTCAGTGTAGTGTTTGATAGTAAACTCTCATTCAACGACCACATAATTAACACAGCATCATCTTGTATGTCTGCCCTAGGGCAAATTAGCCGAGTTAAACATATATTTAGAAAAGACATACTTGTTACAATAATTAATTCTCTTGTGTTTAGTAAGTTGTATTACTGCTTGTCTGTCTGGTTGAATACTTCTGCCAGCAATATATGCAATACCGTGTTGACGAGATAAGAAAGCTTGTACCTGAAGAATGCTGGAATCCTTGTTTGTTGTTTAGATACACAGTATGAAAGAAGTTTGAAGGGAAACCGTATAAGGTTCCACGAGCTCCACCCCTGCCTAGCTATAGAGTGAGAGGCACCTGCATTTGTGACATTGGTTTGGATTATGTTGGACACCTTTTTGTGAAGTCTACCAGTGAGGAAGAAAGTAAGGTCTGGATTTGTTTGTTTACTTGTTCTTCTACGAGGGCGGTCCACTTTGAGGTTGTGCCCAATATGACTACAGAGGCATTTCTGAGGTGCTTTAGAAGATTTGTAGCTCATCATTCAAGGCCTTCTTTAGTGGTATCAGACAATGCCAAAACCTTCAAGAGTGCTTCTAAGGAGCTTGAGAAGATTACTTATGATCCCAGTGTTGTTAAGTACTTTGCCCAAGAGAAGATCAAAATAATGGTCCTACAACTTAGAGAAACCCCATGGTGGGAAGGTTTTTACGAACGACTTGTCAAGTCACTGAAGAGATATCTTAAGAAGACAATCGGCCGAGCCAAACTTTCCTATGATGAACTGGTAACTGTTGTTACAGAAGGTGAAATGATCTTAAATTGCCAACCCATTTCATATGTCTCTTCTGAGGACCTGGAAGAACCCCTCACACCCTCCCACCTCATTGTTGGTCGAAGACTCAGCACCCTTCCTGAAATAGTCCTGCTGATGCAGATTTTAGAATTTTACCGGATGACCTGAACAGAAGAGCAAAACACCTTGATATGATTCTGACTCATTTTTGGAAGCGTTGGAGAGGAGAATACCTTCTTGAATTACGAAATGCCCATAACCAATTGAAGAAGAAAGCGGTATCAAGGGTAGTGTTTGTCGGAGATCTGGTATTGTTTCATGACAAAACCCACCCAAGATCCTATTGGAAGATGGGCAAGGTGGAACGGCTTCTGATGAGCAAGGATGGGGAGAGTAGAGGTGCTGAGGTCAGAGTCCAAGGGAGTGGATCAAGTAGAAGTGGACTCTTAAGGAGACCGCTTCGATTATTGTTGTACCCACTGGAAGTAAGCTGTTCTACAAATGAAGCAGCTTCTCAGGAGCAAGTACCTGAATCACCAGAACAGCCAACGCAAGGTCGAGCGAGATGAAATCGAGAGCGGCGTAGAGCTGCAGTCAAGGGAGAGCAAAAAAGAAGACAGTGGATTGCTGAATTACAAGACGACCATTAAGTTTGTTATGTATTCTGAACATTAAACAGTTTTTTTGAGAGAGAGACTATATCCACTGAGTTATCATTATTTTTTTTTATTCTCTTTGATATTTGATTCTAGGTATAGAAGGTGGACCATTCTTCATGGTCCACAGGGGGGGAGGGGGGTAGTGTGCATGATTATGTAAACGTTTAGGAGTGCTAGGCCTCCTGGGAGATCTGTAAAAACGTGTTGTGTTCTTGTAGACATCTTGATGATCTTTGAACCTTTAGCGAATTGAATCTATGGAACCCCGTGTAATCCTTGAGAAGTTGGACCCTTTGGAGTGTTGTAACCTTTAGGAATCAAGCCTGACAATCCTTGGAATAAGATACAGTTCAAATTCGTCTACAGTTTTTATTTTTTCTCAGCACTCTTATTTAAGGTTGCTGGAGCCTAGCAATAAGAGTAAAAAGGCTTTGTTTAAATCCCACTCGTGAAACTGAACGGAAAAATAAACATTCTAACCGTTACGACTTAAACTGACAAAAAAAATTAAGTACCAAAGTAATTTGCAATTCTACAATCACGCGTTCATTGTTGTGGTTCACTCTAAATTCGAGATTTCTTATTTTAAGAAAAAAATTTCAAACAAATTATGAAATACGATTTTGTTCTCACAAATTGAAACTACCTGTTTTAATTACAGGAAAAAGAGTTCCTATCCTATGATTTGTTTTAAATTTTTCACGTAAAATAAGAAAACTTTTTCTTAAATTGAGAGATTCGCAGCAATTTCGAATTCAGAGTGGTTCTTTCTTTGAATGTATATTTATGTTTACGTTCTATTTTGAAAAACAAAGTGACTAACGTATAAAAAATGGAATGTTCTCTTCACGAAACGATTATACTCAAGGTTTGTATGTTCTTGCAAGAGTTTTTTTCGTTGATGTGAAAATTTCTCGTGAAGACCAATCGAGGGTTTAAAATTAGACTCAGACGCGCTTTCAGACATTATAACTTACTGGCTATTCGAACGCAAAGTGGTTTTTTTTAGGGACGGAGACGGACAACGTTTTTTTTAAGGTAGAGGAACGCGAATAAAAAACAAACGCAAATACTAGTTGAGAAAATTTGCCAAACAAAAACCAACCGTTCGGCAAGTATTACGACGAGCCAATTTGTACAGCCAGACAACATGTCTAGCATGCCGTCGCGCATTGGTAATGTATAAATTTCAGTCGGAAATCTAGAAAACTGCGTAACGCAATGGAAGAAAGATATGTGCAGAAAAACAAGGTAAAGTATCAACTATCGAAAGCACCAGCAAATCCACACTTACCTTCTACATTACTTGCTCAAAAAGTCAAAGGTTTGACAGCGTGATTATTTCTTCACAGACAATGCTCGGGTTTTGTCAGCTCTCTCCAGCTCCCGAAAAACGAATGCCAAGATGCCTGGGTAACCTCGCCAGCCTCAACAACACCTCCTTCGTGAATAGAAATATCGCCAGCAAACAGCCAATATTTTGTACGGCGGCTGCTACCATTAGCCACGAAAGCCAAGATGGCGGCCGATGAAGGTGTACAGACAGTGGAAGTTGAAGACGATTTTTTGGAGGAACGTCTCAGTAAACCAATATTTTACTCTCCTGACGTCGAAGAAGCGATTTCTCAGGTAACCAGAGTTTAATCAATTTTTGTAAAATTATATTTTTTGTAATAATAACACCTTACAGAAAATAAGTTTTACTGTCTTGGGAGAGCTTTGCCTGTTATCTGTTATTTTCAACAGGTTTTTAAAAGTGACGATCCTTTGGACAGCAAAGATTTTAATCCTGTGGACCATATCAATTCTATATTCCCAACTGAGCAGGTTTGTTTTGACTGAGTCAGTATTGATTATGTCACAGTTGAACAATATAAAAATTATTTAAAGTAAATTATTTGGACCAGAGAGTCAGCTGCTGTGTTAGAAAGTTTTCTTTGGTACCCCGCAAGTAAGTGTTATAACACCAGCTACCGTTTTTTTATTTAGTTGAGTTCCTTTTTAGCTTGCAATGTGTAGACTTTTGGGATTTATTTCTGTATTTCTGTGACTTATGGCTCAGTTAATTCCAAGAGTGCCCCTCCCCCCGGGGGGAAGTGTCGATCCCGGCGGTGGGGAATTTGTCAGAAAACCTCTGCCCAAGAGGGGATAGGGCATGTGTCAATTCTTGTAGAAGTGGTTAACATTGTTCCTCTTTCAATATTTCACTTAAGAATATGTCTTTGTAGATAGCTATAGTTATTTGTATAAAGAATATGCTTAACATATGCTTTCAAAAGATACGTGTGGTTTTTGCCTCATCACCACCCTTCCCCATGGCACTTTTGTCATTCGTTTTAGAAATTGCTTCCCGCCATCATCAGGGTTGTCAAAAGTAGCCGGCTGCCGGCAAAAATCGCCACCTACTTGGTTAGTATCTGCCGGCTACTCTGCTTGGCATTTCTTTACGGATGACATTTTTAAAATAAAGTATCCCTGGACTGGCCACTTACTTTGACAACTCAGCTGTCCACTTCAAAATTTTGTGACAACCTTGCATTGTGATCAGTTTGCATTTGGCGGAAAACAATCAATTCATAATTTGTTGGAAGAGTTTAAACAAAAATACACTTTCTTTTTGAGCAAATGGTTGAGGCAAACAAAAAAGTATGCCTGAGAACCTCGAAACAATGACTGATTCTGTCCGACTCCGTCCGCTGTTTTGAAAATTTTTGATCACTGCGGCAATGTTTTGATTTGTTTGTTGATAAACACAAGCGCGTCTTCTCATTGGTTGAAAAGTGTTGCGTGACCAGTTGGCCCTGTCCTTAAATTTAGGGATATTCCAGACTGATGACAAATGCCTTACAAGTGCCCAGGGGGTGGGGGGGGGATGGGTGTGCTTGGAATTGACTGAGTCATTGCATTCTACTTTGTCTTTGTGTGTTTACTTATTAACTTGTTTACTTTTCTAGGGTATGACTGAGGAAGATCTTCTTTAAGTCATCAAAATATTAAAAATAATGGATTTGATGTCAGTAGTGCTACATGTATCAATAGTTGATTTATTTACATCCTTACTTTTAGTCCCTAGCTAATATTGATGAAGTTGTTAACAAGATGAGACTTAGGATAAGGTAATTGTTTGTCTTGTAACCAGTTTCCTTTAGCAGAACCAACAGTAAATGACATGCTTACATCCAAAGCATGTCTTACTATTAATGAGCTCTAGGTCAATGGCTTGTATGGCTGAGCAAAAGCTTGAAATAGAATTATCTAAACCAAACAGAATGGGATAAAGAATCCCAACTGGCTGGAGGCAAACCAGTTGGCTTTTGACAAGTGTGGTCAAGGATTTCACCTTGGGACTACCATGAACAAATTCATCTAGTGTTCAGAGCGGTGCAGACTTGGACTCAGGGCCTCCGGATTGCAAGAAAAAAAACTTCCCAGAGGAAAATATCAAACATTGTGTCTTTTAAAGGGTTTCTTCATTAATCGTGTGTCTCATGATTGTCACATAGATATTGATCGCGACGTTTTGACTGCATACTTCTTCATCAGGAGATAGTGTTGATTTACTGAGTAGAACTATACCACAATGGTTGTTAGCGATTGGTGTATCATGATCCTTGCTCATGGTTGGTGGGTTCTGCCGAAGAAACAGTTTCTTCCTCTAATAATGCTAACAATGCATAGGATAGAAACCCACCAACCATAAGCTAAGATTGTGATACACCAATCACTAACAACCATGGTGGTATAAATAGTTCTACTCTGTAAATCTACACTATCGCCTGATGAAGACCTGCAGTACGTGATCTGAACGTCGCAATCAATATCTATGTGACAATCGTGACTCAGACAAACGCATCATTAACAAAACTCTTTATACACATTATCCACAATGAACCATATCTTTAATGACGTTGTGTCTTTTGTTTGTCAGAGTTAATTTGTTTAGTATGGTATTTTTTATAAGGGGTCTTGATGAAGACATCAGAACTGTTGTCAGGGGACAGACTAACATTGGTCATGAAGGAAGGCAGGTTTGTGTCACTGGATTAAAGTTCTGTTTCAGAACTTAAGTTTGGCACCACTCTAATTTTTTGTTTTGAAAAATTGTACACCTGCCAACTTTTCTTCTAAGTTTTTCAAATGCATGACATTTGGTCTTTCCACAACTGGTGTTACGGTGAATCTTTGCGGATTCTGGCTCCCAGCCTTTCCCTTCCCTTTTTGGGTTTGTGCATTGGTAAGTATGGGGTCAGGTGAGTATTTTCCGCTGAATTTCCTTCAGTGTGACGGTGCCAGTTGGCGGCTGCATGCAGGGGTGGTTCCCACTCGTGGGGTTGCTATGGATACCTCCTTGTTATGCCCGAGTCACTGAGGCTCCTGTCCAACCTTCGAGGCACCAGTTCTCAAGCTCATCTTGGAGATGAGTTTGATAATTATTAGCCAAATTTCTGAAAGTTTCTGACAACATATGATCATTATTGAAATCAAGTTTCCTTAACCCATTCGCCCCTGAACCGCCCGTAACCGCCCGTGCAGATCCTGGTCCTTTCTACTCATTGTGACGTCATCAGTTTTAACGGTCAAGGACAACTTTCTTCACTAACTTGTGCAGAGTGAAGAGATCTTTCAAACCATACCAGAATGAGCACAATTCAGTCAAGGACACCGGAGAAACAAGCAAAAAACCACGTGACATTGACCTGAAAATCTCCATGAAAATCTTGTCCCATTACCCACCTACCTTTCCTTTCGCCTAATCCTAAGATCCTAAAAGCTTTCCTAAAAACTCTTCCCACCAAAATCAAGCCTACTAAATGCCCAGCAAGAGAAAAAAAAAATGAGGCAAGAAAAGCAAAAAAAGAAGGGAGGAGAGAAAGCGAAAAGTAAAAGTCAAGACTGCTGTGTCACTTTTAAACCCAAAAACTATGTCGAAATTTTGCTTTCTGCGCATGCCCGAACTTCGCAAGCTGATATTTTGCATCTGGATCGGAAGACCGCGAAGTGTTCGACCTGTAAACCAGTTTGTGGTAAGTTTTAGCTCTTTATAGCACGACAGTGACCAGAAAACCACTCGACTAGCTTCAAAACGCGTTTTTCGGCAAAATCTCTAGGAGCGAATGGGTTAAGGCTGATTTTCAATCAGTGGTTTCCAGTTGCTGGGGTGTGAAGCTTGAAGTCTGAAACAAAACATTTATCTTGTTATTTGGGACGCAATATTGCAACATTTAGTGCTGTTTCACTAGTCAGACTATTTTGGGTGCCGAAATTGACCCGTTCACTCCTGGCAGTTTAGCCAAAAAATGCATTTTGAAGTCACTCAAGCTGCTTTCTGGTCACTGTGTGGCTATAAAGAGCAGCCTTCCAAGCAATAGCATTATAAATGGTGGGCAATATTAACTCAACGAACTAAACAGCTGTGACAGAACTCCTTTAATAATTATTATTCACTTATTAAGTTGTAGCTGAAGCATTCATTTTGTGCTGTAATGTTTTTTGGTTGGTTTTGTTGTCAGGCACTGGAGGAAGCCCAACAAGCAATTCAGCAATTGTTTGCAAAAATAATTGACATCAAAGCAAAGGCTGACAAATCTGAACAAATGGTAAGTAATTCACAAAGTTGCTTTTCAATAACACTCATTTTATTGCATCCTTTTCTCTCTATCTGCAGGGTTGTCATTAAGAGCCGGGGGCCGGGGATTTTCCCCGGCTACTAAGAGAGTGGCCCCCGGCTACTTTTATTGGAAAATAGAAGAAAAATAGAACCAAAAGAAATCCCTAGGCGTTTGATTCCTCGCCTACTTGTTGTATTTACCCGGCAACTTGAAATCTTAGTGACAACCCTGATCTGTAGCACTGGATCCATTCAATTTCCTCAATCCTGTCTCATGACTGATAGAGGGCAGTTACTTCCCTTGCTATCTGTATTATAGTGCTAAAATTGGATAATCACTAAATGTAGAATCAAGGGTTTCAATAACATTTATTTCAGGTGGGTAGTTGAAGTGAAACAAGCCAGTAGATTGAAATAATGGAAGGGCTGGACCCATCCCAAGTAGCGGGATCCTTATCCTTGGACCAGGCTCGGCAGCGGGGGGAAAAGGGTGAGCGAAGCAAGCCGCGCAGTAGTCTGGGGAAGGGAATGGTTGGCACAGCCTGAAGACATGCCTTTGATGCTGCTGATCTGCCCTCCAGCAATTAACTTGTCATATAAATGTCAACACATCAAGTTGTTATTGCATCACAGTTTTTCTTTGGTTTTATTGCTGCCCTGATTGCTGCAAAATGCAGCATGAGTGAAAATGACATTTTTGTGAAAAATGTTTGAATTCACCTGGATGAAGTAACATAAGTGAAATATAGATGTTTCAGAGAAAAATATGCTGTGTGCCACTGGTGAAGAACAGCCAGATCGATCCACAAGGAGATCCCTCAACTTTGTGG